CCCTCCCCCCCTCCCCGGAATGACTTGATGTTTGATAAAAGTCATATTTATTTTGAAATGCACACACTTCAATAAAGAGAGAGAGGTATTATTCCAAGAGTGCAATGAAGACATTAAAAATACAAATAATAACACATACATCTTCTCTAAAATCAACAGTGAAAATAACAGTATACCTCTATCAAAATTTTTAAAAAGCAGAATATTTAAGCCAAAATAATTAATCACTTCACCTATGGGATGGGGCTAGTAGGACTAAATTACTAGTACTTTATTTAGATCAGTTTTTGTTTTAATTGTATTCAATTTTAGTAATTATTTTTAACATTTATTTTTTAACTCTTATTTTTGTATTATTGTATTTTCTATTACTGTATTGTATTGTATTTAGAATTGTCCTAGTCTTGTAATACTCGTTATTTATCATACTGAATCCGCTGACGGTTCGGGAGTGTAATAAAGTTATTATTATAATATCTTTATGTTACAGCTAAGCAACTGTGTCTATAATGCAGAACACTCCCTGAAATCTTAATTTAACAAACCTTTCTAGCATCTTTTGTAGATGATTGATTTGTACATTGTAAAATGTTCTTACCTTACAAAAGTTATGATTCCATGGTACATATAAAATGTAGTGCTGTGTGAACAACGCCAGCTACATCACCGATGCCAAACGCACTACATTTCTGCAGCCTTGTAGAGAGGGCGCTAAACTAGCTTTCGATTCTCTCATTTAGCAAAACAACGACGGCACAGATTCGGATTCATATTCGTTTCGGGTTCGAGTCCTGAGAATATTTACTTGTACCTTTCAACAAACAATACAAATCACGCTATTGTGATGTCTTTTTTAATATGTCTAATCCCAAATACAACGTATAATTCAGCTTTCTAAAAAAAATTACCATTATTTTAAAAGCATTATACTTGTCCTTAAAAAACAACAAAATGTATCTACATTTAAATACATGTACTTATATTTTTTCCTTTATGAAAAACATGAATTTTTTTAAAAAACATTTGACAGAAAGCAGACACAGAACTATTTAAAATAAAAAAACTATTATCTTATAATATATTGCTACTTCGAATCTAGAATGAATCTGTACCCGAATCGGAGGCCAACTTCATCATCGTAGCAAAACAACATGGCAGCCTTCATAGCAGAAGGTACTTCCTCACCGTTGTTTCGAGGTTATGAAGGCCAGTCATTACCATTCGGTCCCCAGGACTTAAATAAATACAACTTTTCGTCGGAAGAAATACCAAGACTTTCAGCAGACGACCCGAGAGTGAACGAGCTTATTGCGGCAGAGGTATGTTCACTTGTTTTAATACTTGTTTTGAATTTGTTCATGTATTTAATTGTATTCGTGTACTGTATATTGTCACATCACTGTATTTTTACGATCCCAACAACCGCGAGTTGCCTACGTGCATTTCGTGACAACTAGGCTTCAGTGCCTAATTATAATACATTTTATGGCTCAATAAAATTCGCTTCATCTAATAGCAAAATAGATTCGTTGCACTAGTAGACGTCGTTACTCGCCTTGTCCTGTATTTCAGTGGTGACACAGTTTTCCTAACTTTGTTTGATCCGTTTGTATTCATAACAGGTCATGCGTGCCTGGCAGTTAGCGTGGTATCTAAGACATAAGTTGTTATCGCTCTCAATTGACTTTGTTTGCATTAGTATTTCATGTTTTTTTAACCTTGGTTGATTTTTATTAGCATTTCGTTGACATGATCCTTGCTGAAACTTCTGGTTAATTTGGACACGGAGCTGTAATGATTACAGCTCTCTGATTTGGATAATTACTATTACCCTTTTCACCACCAGACTTTCTCGCCCAAAGTTTTTCCACTTTTTTTCTCTTATATTCTTCAATATTTTTTAGTAATGAATCCTAATTTTGAAACCAACAGACAAAATTTGAGTCAATTTTCAGTTTTTACTCTAAAAACTTGGCTATCTTTGCTCCAATCATTTGAAGGAAAGTGCAGACTATAACCATGACTGTTTTTTGAATTTATGATGAAAAAAAGGAACTGGTGGTGAAAAGGTTAATGTATGAATATTTATCGTATTATTTGCTAAAGTATGCTTTGGTTATGTTTGATGAATGTCTTGTTTCCAATATAATAATAAAAATAAGAATATTTATTTATTTATTTATTTATTTAAACAATAATATACTCCCGGTAACTCATAATGAACGAAAGCACACTTTGCACGACATTATTGAGTGCAAAGTGTGCTTGAGTTCATTATGAGCCACTATTGTTTTGTTGCATTGGCATTGCATTAAAACTAAGATAATTTGGAAGAAACGACATTCAAAAGAATCGCGTCTACATTATATGGGCCTTGTAATCTGTATACTGTATATAACGTCAACGCGTTCATGCAGCGTTTCCCATTCATACACACAAGCACAATACAGTGTGCAGCTGTCATAACACGTATACAAAAAATAACTTCCTATCTTACATGATGTTAATTTTGCGATAATCAAGAGGACCAGCGATGTGTTGATGGATTGAAGCTCGTAAACAAGACAGCGACAGCTTGCTGTACTGCACCCCATCTTGCTTGTGAGCTAAAGCGTAAAATTCCCGCAGCAAGACGGCGAGCTCAACGACAGTAAGGTCTTCAAAATTGGCAGCACATGCCCCTTGTGTTGAAGCTCAGACAACTATTATTATTATTAGTTGTCTGAGGTTCAAGCCATTGTAGGGAAAAAACGCATACTCCCCATTTAGTCTGCTGTGAAGTATTGTTTTCATTTCTTGTATTTTCGAGCACATATAACTGGGATTCGTCGACATCGATAAAACGGGCTATCATGGTTGCCTTTGGTGAGCTACATTTATTTACGCGTCACGTCAGTACCGAGTGTTTCTTGCGAAGTTGGGATTGGCCAGACGACGATTTGTGTTTGTCTTTATGGCGGGAATGACATTTTTCATGTAAACTAAGAACAAATAATTATTTGTCATATAGCTCAGAGTTATTCATTTTCAGTTTTGTTTTTAATCGTTTTCACCCCATAATTTCCCTTATTATTAAATGCCCGTCTTATTTTTTTTTCGAACTCAACCTTCTATTCCTATGCATGGTACAGGGCCTTGATGCTCAATAATGCAATACATTATCGCGAATAATCTGTAGCAATGATGTCATACAATTTGCTGGTATTGATAACGCTATAATATAATACTCTGTAATGATTTTCAGCTGATGGTGTAGTGAATGAAAGTTCAAAATAAAAAGTAAAAGTAATATACCTGTGATATTATTACTAGAAACTCCATTGTTATAATAATAATTTTTATTAAACCATAATAAATCTAAACGATAGTTTTTCAGAAAAGATTGATTTTTGACTCCCGTGTGTGAAGCACACTCATTGGATTTTGATGAAACTTTGTACATATATGCCCTGGACTAATGCACAAATTTAATTAGTTTTGGGTAAAAATCCATTCATATGATTAACCTAATTTGCATAATGCTTAATCAATTTTTGGCTTTTCCACTGATATCTCAGGTACACTAATCATCACATTTCAATAGAACTTACATAGATACATAGGACAATGCATAGACAGATATGTGAAATATGAATTACCTAATTTGCATAATTAATCAACTTTCAACTTTTGATATTTCAAGTACTATCACTTCATTATTTTCAATGAAACTTGGTACATAGATTTTCTAGAACAATGCAGAGACCTGATTAATTTTGAGTAAAAATTTGTGCCTAATAATCAAGTAATTTGCATAATTAGTTAATTTTCAGCTTTTAGACTGATATCGCAAGTACTAATTATCCCATTTCAATGAATACTGGTACATACATGTAGATGTTCTAGGACAATGCACAGACCTGATTAGTTTTGGGTTAAAATCAGTGCATATTAATTACCTTATTTGCAAAATTAGCCAATTTTCAACTACATATATACTTTAACATAATGTGATGATCTAATTAGTTTTTATAATAATTACCTAACTTGCATAATAATTTACTTCTCAGCTTTCCACTAATTTAGTTAGGATTGATCATCACATTGTAATGAAACTTTGTACATGTGCGCCTAGAAACAATATACAGCCCCAAATCTACGCATAATAATTGCTTAATTTGTATAATGATTAATTTGGTTCACAGAGGTACAAATGTAGTCCACAAACGTGATTAGTTTAATGTTGATAAACATGCAGATTGTTTATCTATTATAAGCCTATTCCTGATATCTTAACAAATCAGATTTAAATTGAATTCATCGCAGAGGTGCTCTGGAATAAATTTGACTAAAAACCATGGATGAAAAATCAAATGTATTTTCTGTATATGTATTATAAATTTTGACAATGTGAATCACAATTTGTTAATGTTACATTGTATGCATTGCAAATAGGAGACAAATATTAGTTGCTAAGCTTCTCGTTTGAAATGCAAATCTTAAATTTTAAATTAATTTTAATGTGTCTCCAATACTCTCTCAGCACACAGGAGCTCTTTCTAAGCTTTCTTTGATTAGCTATTAGAGACCAATTAATCTTGATAACTTGAACTTTAATCATTTTCATATAGCGCTCATACTTAAACTTGAATTAAACACATTATTAAATGCGTGTAAAGTCATGCAAAGTTTATGGATTTCATCAAAAATATAATATTTCATTCATAGTGCAGTGATTTTAAAGTGTGACAAATATTTAACAATATTTTTAGATTTTGTACTGTGACATCAGGACAAATTGTATATAAATTACTGCTAGGGAGGGATAAACAAATAAATATTTTGGTTTCCATAACATGGAAAAAAAACAAAACACTGATAGGCTGGAAGGGTTTTTATCTTATTTCGCACTCTTGCAGCTGTGTAGGTTATAAACAATAATAAGGTTTTAATACAGATTTTCAAAGTAACCTTCAAACATCTCATTCTAATGATTTTCTAGTTTGTACTAGTTTGTAATTTTTTTTGGTAGTTTTCACCAACTACCTGTTATTTTCTACTTTACTGCTGTATGGAATATTGATATTTAGTTCGATGAAAAATGTTTTTGTCAGTTTTTATTATTCAATTCTGTTTTGTAATTGGCTCAAAAATTTAGGAATCAAAAGTTCATATATAGATTCATTTACTTCAAATGTTGTGGTGAAAATAAATAGGCTTAGTGTTCAAAGGTGAAGCACTATAATTTCAATATCTAGGTGATGAAAGGTCAATAAAAGGTGAAGTCACCAGGGGAAACCATCTGCCATGTGATTTTTATTGTCTATCTAATGTTCTATATGAATTTTCACAGGCAGGAATTTCTATGATTTAATAGTTGTCATGATAAAAATAATTGACAGTTCTTTTATGTACCGATACCTCAGTTCTGTGTACCCCAGTAAAACTGTTTACTGTGATTCCTGTCCTAAGTAAACTACCAAATGATAAATGTTCTCTGTGACTTTTTACGACGCCAGTAAAATGTTCTATGTGACTTCCTAGAAATCCCAGTTGTTGACTGTGACTCCTTAGTACTCAAGTAAAATGTTCACTATAATTCTGCCTAGTAGATTTATTTACTGTGACTCCCTGATTCGCAAAATTCACAGAAATTGTTTTCTCTTAAAATTAAAGCTGTTTGCAGTATTATCAAAGTATGTAAGTAGAAATATACCTATTTTTTGAATGGTATCATTTTTCTACATGTGTACCATGTTGTGAGTGGAACATTTTGAACATTAATATGTATTTTTTTGAAATTGTGTAAGAAAATGCATTGATTTATTGACTCCAGCGTTCTACAGTCGGCTACAACATTTATTTTCAAATTCTATACTTTCAAGTATATTCAAATAATTTGAAAAAAAGCATAGACTAGGTATTACAAATGATTTATAGAATCGGTTTTTTTATTTCTACTACCAGTACATAAAATGTTCCCTACTGTGATATAGATTTACCCAGAGTCGACGCTGCGACAAGTCAACGCCGGCGAGATTTGAAAGGCAACTGTTCAGTCAAAACCCAAGCAGTCAGAATTTTTCTATAGTGTTAAACTTGATTTTGGCTGCCATTTTGGAAAATAGGCATACAAGTGAGTTTGACATTTTAAAAATTAGTTTGAGTTCATGTTTTTTTGCAGAATATAAACCACAAAATCCCAATAATTTAGAAACGAATGACAAAATATATTAAAATAAATAATAAAAAAATATGTATATGTTTTATGTATTTCTAATGATATTGCCATTTCTACACGTTTTGTTTATTTCATGCTTGCTTTCCTTCATTCAGTGATTCTTTTTCTTTGTGTTCAACATGTGTTACCGGTAATAACCATCATCATCCATACATCCTGATATTAAACTGAATACCATCATTGTGGTTCTTTTGTTAACAAAGATAAACCATTAAAGCTTCAATTCAGATTAATTAAGGGTTTAGAATTTTAATTTTACATAGGAATATATTATTATAATTATATTATATTATTTCTGAAAAAAATGAAAGCATGAGGAAATTTTTGTAATTTAAAAATTTTCTGCAAAAGTTTCCAAGGTTTCAAGCAACCCCCTGCTCACATACATGCAGTCTGAAACGGTTCACCCTCTTTCACCTCTCTTTGTCATTTGGTATTGTAATGATTGAAAAACAGTTGCATATTATTTTATAATATAGGCTTTTTTGTATTGTCAAGCTATTTACATTTTATTGGCATGCTTACGTGACTGGCGTCTTGTTCTATCCTGTTTATTCTGCTGTGGAACAAGCCTAGCAAAAAAAAATATTTCAGGGCTCAAAACTTATGGAGGTAATTGCTTTACCAGTACCGGTAACTCCTCACCCTGAATACTTTGATGCCCACCTGAATGCTTAGATGCATCACCTGAATGCCTAGTTTCATTACCTGAATGCCTAGATATATCACGTGAATGTCTAGATGCATCACTTGAATGTTTAGACTCCCTATCTTAATGCTTAGATGCATCACTTGAATATTTAGATTCCCTATCTTTGCTTAGATGCATCACTTGAATGTTTAGATTCCCTATCTTAATGCCTAGATGCATCACTTGAATGTTTAGATTCCCTATCTTAATGCCTAGATGCATCACATGAATGTTTAGATTCCCCACCTGAATATTTAGATGCCCCATCTGACAACTTAGATGCATCACCTAAATGTCTAGTTGCATCACCTGAATGCCTGGTTGCATTACCTGAATGCCTAGATGCATCACCGTAATGCCTAGATGCATCAACTGAATGTCTAGTTGCATTACCTGAATGTCTAGATGTATCATGTGAATGCCTAGATACATCACGTGAATGCCTGGTTGCATTACCTAAATGCCTAGATACATCACCTGAATGCGTAGATGCATCACTTGAATGCCCAGATTCCAACCTAAATGCCTAGATGTCCCACCTGAATGCCTAGATGCACATCACCTGAATGCCTAGATGCATTACCTGAATGCCTAGATGCCCCACCTCTATGCCTAGATGCCCCACCTCTATGCCTAGATGTCCCACCTGAATGCCTAGATGCCCAACTGAATACCTAGATGGACATCACCTGAATGCCTAGATGCATTACCTGAATGCCTAGATGCACATCACCTGAATGCCTAGATGCATCACCTAAATACCTAGATGCATCACCTCTATGCCTAGATGCCCACCTGAATGCCTAGATGCATCACCTGAATACCTAGATGGACATCACCTGAATGCCTAGATGCATTACCTGAAAGCCTACAAATGTAGATGCCCCACCTCTATGCCTAGATGCATTACCTGAATGCCTAGATGCATCACCTGAATGCCTAGATGCATCACCTAAATACCTAGATGCATCACCTGAATGCCTAGATGCATCACCTGAATGCCTAGATGCATCACCTAAATGCCTAGATGCATCACCTAAATGCCTAGATGCATCACCTAAATGCCTAGATGCATCACCTAAATGCCTAGATGCATCACCTAAATGCCTTGATGCATCACCTAAATGCCTAGATGCATCACCTAAATGCCTAGATGCATCACCTAAATACCTACATGTAGATGCATCACCTAAATACCTAGATGCATCACCTGAATGCCTAGATGC